TCGGCCATGGTCTGCTGCGGCCGCCGAGAGGCGGTACGGGGAAGCCGGGGAGAGCCACCAACGAGAAGCAGGGCGGGCCGCGCGTGGCGTTGTGGGAGTTGTAGTTCCGATCTGGCCACCGAGCGCTTACAGGACCTTTGGCAAACTACAACTCCCAGAGAGCATAGGGAAAACCGCTTCGCTCCGCTGGATCCAGGTAACAGGTTTCTGAGCTCAAAATCTTACTGGAGGAAGAGGAAAGGGAAAAAAAAAAAAAAGCTCCCTTCGCCGATTGGTTAATGTCAACTTTTCGGGAAGCGGAATCCCAAAAGTGGCACTATGTTCGCAGATTGAAAACCCAGGTTGCAGATTAGAATCCCGAGGGGGGAGTACTTACAAAAAACTGATCCCCAGGTTCTGTTTGGCAGGATTTTACATAGCGATTACCAGACGGCAGGCCCTATTTTAAGCGCCTCATTCCTATTAACTCAATCCTTAGGACAACCCCACAAAAAAGGTGGTGTTCTTATTGACACTTTACAAAGGGGAACACTGAAGCACAGGGAAGTTGAGTACCTTGCCGAGGTCACACAGCTGGGAGGTGACAGAGGAAGGATTCGAACTCAGAGTCTGGCTCCTACGTCTATTAACTACTTTGCTCATTGGTCTGACAGGGATCCTTTGGCATATTTTTAAAAGCTCCTCAGAGAACTGTACTGTGCAACTACTGTTGACAACTATTGGTGCAGGTGTCAGTGCGGGAGCAATCTCAACTCCTGAAAGAGCTCTAGATCAGAGTCTCATACGTACTGCCACTATTTCTTTTTGAGACCTGAAGTCGGGTCAAGTAAGCCCCCAACCTCATTCTCCCCTCCCTGCCCCCCCCCCAAGTCACATGGGTATGGTGATAATAGAAGCTCTTGTCTCTTCAGAAGAGAAAAAGGAAGCTCTGGGGCAGTTGAAGGTGCTTCTGTTCTGTTGGGAAGGTCTTACAATCCAAGTCTACTGGCCCTATCTCAAACAGCACTTTTATTTAAAAAGAAGAAGAAGGGAAGGAAGGAAGAGCAAAGAAGGAAGCCTTTACCGAGTACCTAATATGTGCGTGCTTCAGAACCCTGCAAGTTTACCCTTTCCTGTTTTCAATAAGTCTTAAAGTAAAAGAAAAAGTAATTCCTTTCCATTTTATTTTTGGGTTTCAGGCCAAAATCCTTGCTTTTCAAGTGGTCTTTGGACTCTGACTTACTCTGTAAATATTTTGCTTCAGTTGTCCTACATTTTGCTTTGCTTCTTAACTACTTTGTATAGCACTGCTGAGGTTATAATTACAAATTATGGTCACATTTGCTTTCAGTATCCATTTTACACTGATTCAAACTCCCATTTATATAACAATAATACCTTAGTCTCCCTCTCAAAAAATCCTTAGTAATTTCTAGGGAGTCTCAAAGGGATGCCTCACATATACCCAGAAACATGAGTCAACCACCAGCCATCCTGTGTCCACCCTGCTGCCCACACAGCTCACTGGGTTCAGTGCCTGTCATAAGATTGTCAGAGCCTGTGTCATTATTCCCAGATCTTGGATACTTCCAAACTTCTAATCCTCAGGATTCCAAAGCAGAGCTGGGTTCTACTCACAGATGGGGAGGAAGTCCTTCTCCCCAACTTGCATACTCTTTGCTCTTTTGTTACCAAGCCCTAAACCAGGTCACTTGTGCCCAATGTATTATATCTCCTGTCATGAAAAGTTCCTTCCATGTCTAACTTTCAGTCCTCTAACCACAGAGTCTCAAAACCCATCCAAGGGGTTAATGAAGGAACACTAAACCACCTACCTCTGTCCTCCTCCAACCAAAGACTCTGCTGTCTTCCTCTAATTACAAAAAGATCCCACCCTATATAATAAAAGCCTAATATGCAAATTGTCCCCTCAGGCGGTCACTCGACTGGGAGTTCAACCGCTCGCTATGATGTGCACTGACCACCAGGGGGTGGTGGGCATCGGCAACAGGCCCAGATGGCCCCAACGAGAGCGGGGATCGTGGAGCAGATGAGTGGGCGGTGCCAGGCCAAGGTGGGTGCGAGCGGGGCCAGATCGCCCCACTGATCACCCCACAGATTGCGACCAGGGGTGGCAGCGGGGGGCAGGGCCGCCTCCTGGCTCCCAGATGCTGAGGGAGCCAGGAGGGGCTGGGGCAGTGCCCCTATTGATCACCCACAGGTGGGATGGTGGAGCAGGTGAGAAGGCGGCATGGCAGGGTGGTAAGCAGGGCTGCAGGGCTGCAAGGCTGGGGGCTGGAGCTGGGGCTGCGAGCCTGGGGGTGCAAGCTGGGGCCTGATCCCTGCAGGCCACCCCGAGGGACCCCACCCCTGCACGAATTTGTGCACCGGGCCACTAGTATTACATAAAAGCATTTATGGGTGCATGCAAACAGAAACTGACATATGCATTGGACAGGAGGGGGATGTTGCCTACATTGTGTTGGGGACCCAGCTCAGCAAATCAAAAATGCCCTGTCTTGGTGCTTTGCTTCCAAGTCCCAGTGAAAGGCAACATTTCTGAACATTTTAACTGTTCTGATAGCACTGACACGTCTCCGACAGAATTTCTAGTTGAGAATCGAACTCTAACAGAAATGAAGACGGAAGCATTAGAAAGTGGACTGACGTTTATCTGGCCTAACACACGGAGGCTGTGTTCCCACAGGACTTCGCTCACCCTCGGACTGCACTTACCACACTGCAGCCAAAGTCGGTGGTTTACATGGCTTGGCTGCATTTCTGTGTCCCAGCAACTAACACAACATTGGGAAGAGTTCCTGCCTCCAGGTTCCTGTCCTTCTGGTCTGCGCCATCCAGCTGCAGCTAACCTTCCACGCTATGTCAACAAGGACAATGTTATCAGTGTGTACAAGGGTCATTGAAAATATTTTCAAATTCAGCCGACCCAATTGAGACCCATGTCTCCAGAAAAGGGCCAGATGAATAAAAAGAAGCTTGGGAAGTTCTTTGGGGGAAGGGAGGGGGAGGGAATACTTTTTTAAAAGTCTGCAATCGAAGTGACTCCCCCTTCCTCTTCTAGAGTGGGAGGAGGTTATCAGGGAGAAGGGCACCTGCAAGGTAAATTTTGTGATTAACAATCATTGCTAAAAGCCAGAATTGCTGGTCCGGAAAGTGGCTGGCCTTACGTGTCCTTTGCTGGTGGCGCCTCATCTTCACAGGGGTTGATTTTTACTGGAACATTTTGTCTGGAATGTTTGAAATTTAAGAGTTAGGAATGAGGATTTGGAATTCTTAGCCTGTCCCTTCCTCAGCTCTACTCACAACAATATACTCCAACTAAAGCTGAGGTCATCTCTAAACAGCCAGCCTCCTGCTGCAAATCAGAGCAAGACTGGAAACCAGAGCATGGTGGGTACATTTCCAATTGGCCAGACCAATCCCTCTTTATTTATAAATGAACTATGTTCATTTGAGAACCAAGTCCTGCTGGCTTTCAATCCTAGAGTCTCTTATTTGTACCTTCTTGACGCCACTCTGATGTCATTGCCCTTTCGGTCACTCCAATCAATTCTCTACATTGCAACCAGCATGATCTTTCTAAAATATACTAGTCATCTGATCCCTTCAAAGCCTCCTTATCCTGTGGGGCAGTGTCCAAACCCTTGACTACAACATCCAAAGTCCAAGATGAGGGACCTGCCTCCCTTTTCCCTTCTCCCTGCTCCCTCCCTGTCCTTTATCCCCCAGCAATGTGGTGGCCCCCAAAGATATCCAGGGTATAATCTCCAGAACCTGTGAGGTGTGTCACTTGACCTGGTAACAGGCACTTTGCAGATAAGATAAAGATTTTGAGATGGTGAGATTATCCTAGATTATACAGATGGGGCCTAAGTGTAATCGCTAGAATCTTGATGGGGTGGGAGGGAGATTAGACTACAGAGGAGAAGTGATCTGACCACAGAGGTGGACATGGGTGTGAAGCAATACCCACAGCTGCCAGAAGCTGGAAGGGGCGAGGAAGGACCGTCTTCCTTGCGGTTCCCAGAAGGAAGCAGCCCTGCCAACACCTTGATTTTAGCTCCATAAGATTCAATTCGGACTTCTGGCCCCCAGACCTGCAAAAGATAGATCTGTTGTTTTCATAGCAGCAGCAGGACATGAAGACAAACCTTGTCAAATGACAGTGGTCCCCAAACACATCCTGCTGGCCTTTCTTCTGGGGTTGCTCTCCCCTTTCTTGGCGATGCTTCTTCACACCCTTCGTCTGCTTTCCTGGCCCTTCCTTCAGATTCAGCATCACCACCACCTCCTGCCTTCCAGGCTGCCCCAGGCTGGGTGAGGGTCCCTAGTGCAGGTCGGCACCACACCTGAGCATTTGCTTATGGCTGCAGTCGCCGACAGGTATCATCGTGGTGTGAATGTGTCTGATTCCCTAATGAGGCTGTGACCCTCTTAGAAGCAGGAATCCAGGGCTGTTCTTCCTGGAGTCCTCCAGAGGGACTGGCACATAAGAGTTCTCAGTAAATGTGTATTGAATGAGTGAGTAACAAGGGATTAAAGCTTCTTGACTTCCGGGATACAGGTGACTTTTTTATTCATTCCATCTCAGCTGTCTCTTCTTATCGCCTATCCCCTGGCCCTTACACCTGGGACTGAGCCCTAAGAAATTCCCAAGTCAAACATCAACTAGGGTCAAAACAGACATCTGGGCTACCCACTGAGAATACTGCAAAATAAATATCACAGGGAACAGTTAATATACATCACAAAACACAAAAACCAACAAAATATATTTTGTGGGGGGTGGTGAGGATTAGAGCCCATAATGCAGAATGTGCTAATGTCTAATTCTTTAACATTCCCTGAGTTTGCCAACCTAGCCCTGGTAGTACCAGCAGCTCAGCTATTACATCCTGCAATCTCAGTACCTCTTTGATGATTCATAAGGCTCTACAACCAAACTTATTATGATTTAGTTACCAATATGGCTGATCGTTGGAATTCTTACAGCTAGTTATGCACTATTAACTAGGAAACACTTTGTGGGATTATTATCCACTTACTATTTGAGGAAGGTATTAAGCTGAAGCTGAATATACAGACTTATTTTGCAAATTGTTTCTCTACAGTGATTTTCACCTGATTACTGCAACATGATCTTCCCTTTTGTCAGACAAGACAGGCTATCGCAGTGGTTCTCAACCTTGGCTGCACATTAGAATCACCTGGGAATCTTTTCTCATCCCGGAGGCCCAGAAATCAGGATTTTAAAATGATTCCCAGGTGATTCTAATGTGCAGCCAAGGTTGAGAACCACTGGGCTATCATCTTCTTAACATCTATAACTTTGGGGAAGACTTTACTGATGAAAGGATGTAAAGCAAAAAAACAGAAAACCAAAAATGCAAACAAACAGAAAACCAAAAGAGCAAAGCAATAAGGAATCATAAACTACCTTTAATGATATCAACAGGACAAGTGTCAAACCATGTAGAGAATTTATATTTTAAAGTTTAAATCTAGTTAATATATTGTAACTGTGACATAATCCTCTAAGGATAAAAGTATTCGTGATGGCAAATGGACAGTATAATCATTTAGGTAGCATTTAGGAATACTGCTATAGTTATTTGACATAAATAGAAATCCATGTCTTTATTAGTAAGGTACCTTACATCTTAAGAGTAAAAATTCATATGGGACAGGCTTATAAATATACATAAATCTCAAAATCAATCACAATCAAACATTAGGTACATAATTATTATAAAACAAATATAACCCAGCAATGTCTATTGAAAAGCATCATTTTTACAAAATAGTATTTTATAGACAATCTCAAAAAAGTATATGAATACTCCTGGAGACAGACTGTTCCAGCATGTTGGCGCAGCTGTGTGAATAAGGCATGTGGAGAAGCTGCATTCACTCCTCCAGGTGGCCAGGACTTGCTATGTGATGGAATGGTAACTGCTCTAGTGACCTGGGTGAAGGCCACAACCCCTTCAGTACCCCGAGACCCGAGAGAATCGCTGACTCTCCAGAAAAATGGAACTGAACAGCTACTTGCCCAATAGCAAATATCTAGGGGCGGGGGTGGGGTGGGGGAGCGGGAGTGGGCTGAAAATATTAATAAAAAAATCAGTATATTTTAAGTGAAAAATTCCAGAGATGAATGATTCACTTAAATTTGCAGCCCTACTTGAAATCACATTAGCATAGCCACTATTTTTTATGAAAAGGAACTTACACTCAAGTTACCTATTAAACATAGAAACAAAGAAGCCCAACTTGAAACTAAGTAATTGAATAATTAGAGAAAGAACCAAATTATATACAAAACGGGTATGGGTTACATCAACATGCCATGTACTCAGTTAACACTCGTCTCAGTTTCTTAACTTACAGTATAGAAACGTCAGACTCAACAATGACACTTTATACGTTCTTAACAATTCGCACAAGGTTGATTGGAGGAGGCAAGGCTTAATAAACGATCCAGGAATCCTTTCTACAAACTAAATTTCTATAAACTCCAGGGTCATTTTGCCTGTAATACATACAATGTTTTACCTCTTGGGTTTTAAAGTATCCAAGAGTTCAGAAACAGAAACCATCTTGGCAAAGACCTTCAGATGGTCATGGTATGTACATATAGGCATTTACGTATAAACACACACAGACCTCATCTTGTATGTACAGATCTATATACAAACACCGAGAATAATCAACCTGTTCACTGAACATAACCAATTCTGTTTAGAGAACAAAAAGACATACATTTATTTACAACAAAGTATACACATCTCAGCCTTGGGCCTATTGTGGTGGCTCTCAAACATTTTTCCATCATGATACATACGGTAGATGACATTGTCACATGTGTAAAACATTCCGGCAACTGCAGCCGATTTTGATAAAACTTGAAAAAAAAATGTCTCAGGGAAATAAATTACTCTGAAACATGGTAATCCCTACCATGAAGAGCCATTCATCAGTGAAAGTTATCACGGCCGCCACAGTTTAGGTAAAATAAAACGGCTGCTTACCTAGTGCTGACTTAACTGCCACCACTTTCGCATCAACTCTGGGAAATCTATCAGAATGTAAGTGCCTGGGAATGCCATGATCAGGATAACAATCCATCAGCTATATTTTATAAACAAATTACTCACTAACTTCAATATTTTTGCAATTAACCAGTAATGCATTACCAGCAGTGTACTTGACAACTGATCCTGACACATAGGCGTGTCTCCTGGCTGAGAGCAAGGGAAGCCTACAGTTCACAGGCCAAACCCAACCTGCCGCCTATTTTTGCCAGCTAAGAATGGTGTTTACATTTTTAGATGTTTTTGTTGTTTATCCGCACCCGAGGACATTTTTCCATGGATTTTTAGAGGGAGTGGAAGGGAGTGGGGAGATGGAAAAAGAGAAACATTGATGTGAGAGAGACACATTGATTGGTTGCCTCCCGCATGCACCCCGACCAGGGCTTGGGATGGAGCCTGCAACTGAGGTACGTGCCTTTGACTGGAATCAAATCCGTGACTCCTCAGTTTGCGGGCCAATACTCTATCCACTGAGCCAAACCAGCTAGAGTTAGATGTTTTGTAATCTAAAGAAGAATATTTGTGACATGTAAAAATTAGGTGAGATTCCAATTTCAGTGTCAACGAAGGTTTATGGAAACACAGCCATCTGTGCTCATTGGTTGATGCACGATCTATGACAGAGTTGGACAGTTGAAACAGAGAGTGCAAAGCCTAAAATCTTTTCCATCTGGCCCTTTATAGAAGAAGCTTGCTGAGCCCTATGCTAGAGCTAAGTACGATACATAACCTCTGTGGTCATCTCTCTCAAACACAGATCCTTTATGTAGACAGTAATTATAGAAATTGTAGTAAAAACTCCTCGGGATGGAAATCCACCCCTGAGTTGTCCAAACTTCCTGATTTCCTTCATGACAAAAGCCAACTTAAGACAGTTAAACATGGCTCCTGCATTTTGTCTGAAATCATGTTTACCAATTCACCTTTGAGATGACTGGGGAGCAACGAAAGGGCATTAGACTCCAAGTTAGAAGACCTGGGTTTTAGGCAAGTCACTTTAAAAAATTAACCAAGGCAAATACATTCTAGTCTTGTCCAATCTGTGTATTAATTAAAAAAACACTATTAAAGGCTCTAAAAATGACTGGTAAAATAATCAAAATATTTTTAAGAAGAAAAAAAGCTGGTAGAAAACAAAGGGGGCATTTGTAATACTTTCGACAATAAAGATAAATTTAAAAATAAAAGCTGGTAGAAAGTAAAATGTACCTTTCCCCCCAAATATAAGTATAAAAAGTCCTTTTTTAGTAATTGTAAACTACTAAAATGGGGTGGGGGAGTACCTAGCTAATTTGAGTGTGGATAGTGGGTTCCACTTAATAAAAGTTTTAATGTATGTGCATGAAGGCATGAATGGGTAGGAAATACTACCACCTCCCTAGGCCTTAGCTGCACCTTTGTAAAATAAGTGCATTGGATTAAATGGTCTCTAAAGTCCTTGCCAACACAGGTAATTTGTGCCAAATGACTAGCCTCAGTTTTTTCATCTGTATAACTGGATTAATAGAATCTATTTCCTATGGTTGTTGTGAGGATTAAATGTGTTAATCCACACAGAGTGCTTAGAACAGCACTGAATACAAATAGCTAGATTATTCTACAAAAACACAGGTGGGTATCTCCTCTGTACCAAGTACTATGTTAGAAAGTTGAATGCAGAGGTAAAATAGAAGTTGATTCTCTTACATTAGGTAAGAATGAATGAACTTGGAGTCCACAGAGTTTAACTCCCGTGTGTCTATAAATTGATGACTCTCTGAGATGATGTTAAATGCTGTTCTCCAACCCAGCTCTGTGAATTCTTATTTCTAAACAATGATCATTGGTAAGAATGCCAACTATGTTTGCAGGGCAAAACAGCTTTATTACTAACCATCTTTCTATCTATGTTTCAAAAGACAGAGTTCAGTGTTTGCTAATGAGATGGCTTATGGTTTGATCACAGGTGGAAGAATATAAAAATGTTAGCCAGTTTGACAATGTATATGAAATACAAGTCTTCTGATCCAAAGAAAGTTGCCATAGAAGTTTGTTTATTCCTTCAACAAATGTTTGTTGAGTATCTACTATGTAGTAGTGTGTATTACAATGATGAGTAATAAGAAATGCTTACCCTTGCATAGGGAGGAGGAGTCAGCAATTACAGTAAAGTGTGATGAGGAAGCACAGTGTGCTATAGGAGCACTTGGCCGGGACCTAAATCTACCTGGTCCAGGGGGTTGGAAGAAGAAATATTTAATCTGTGGCCTGAAAGATGAGCAGATGTTCAGCAAGCACAGGAAGTGGATGGACAATGTTTGGGCACAGGGAACATGAGAGGTAAGAAAGCAGGTCTGAAGAACTGAGAGCTGTGTCATAGCAAGTGAGGAGTGGTGACAAAAGAAGATACTGGAGGTGATCAAAGTGGCTGGCATTTTACACTAACGGCAGTGAGAAATCATGGAAGGTTCTAAGCACAACTGTGCAAAACTGGTAATCAATTGGTGAAAACTGGTAGAACCAATTTGTGAAATTAGCTTGACTTGAAATGTAAACAGAAGGGAAATCCATTAATTGATTGCTTCCCTGCCAGCTACAGAGACTAGCTAAAGTATCTCTTTAGTTTTAACCTATTTATAGCTGAGATATAATACACATAAGAGAATGAAACAGAAAAATATTGGCTCTCTTATTTACAAGGTGGGTGCCTGCATACTCAGTATCTTCACTGCTCAACAACCAGTATAGCTGAGAAGGTGGCGTACAATCCAGCCTTGGCCACGACCAGAGGGCTTAGTTAGGCAGTGGTAGTCAGGTGGAACCAGGGACTTAAGCCACATAAATCCTACACAGTTCCTTTGCTCACTTGATGTCGTTTAACCACTCCCCACCTACAACGAGGATTATTTCCCCTCCATCTCTCAGATGAGCTTGGTGAACTGTGCAATGTCACAGAAATCTCGATGTTTTTCTTCTTTCTGTTCAGCTCAGAATTTGAAAGCTCTCTCCAAAGGTGGACTCTCACCTCTGATATGAATTCCAAGGATGGCACTAGAAACCACAGTCTCCAGTGTTGTTTAATAAAAAAACCCACGAAGTTGGAACCAGCTTTAAAGCAACAAGGCAAGCCGGAGGACTCCAGACCTCTACAATGGAAATGCCTCAGCCGCAGAACCACATTCACAGGTTCTTTTCTTCTAAATGTGCTGCTAACACAGACATTTGGAACAAAGGAAACTTTGCGTTCCTTTGAAAAAAGGAATTCCATTAAGTCAAAGCATTATTATAAATTATGCTGACTGCCAATCCAATTCACAATTCTGAATGGATAATTTAGGTCAGTGGTCAGCAAACTTCAGCTCTTTGGCCCCTTGAGTGTGGCTCTTCCCCAAAATACCGACTTCGGCGCAGGGGTCATGAAGTTTCAATCGCATTGGACATGCACGCCCGCACGTGGGATTTTGTGGAAGAGCCACACTCAAGGGGCCAAAGAGCCGCATGTGGCTCGCGAGCCGCAGTTTGCTGACCACTGATCTAGGTGAATTCACTTTATGGGTCACTTGTCATCTATAATAAAAAAGCATAATATGCTAGTTAGACCAGACGTCCTTCTGGAAGACCTCCAGGACGAAGCCGGGGCTTCGAGGGCCAATCCCCTTGCACAAATTTCATGCACTGGGCCTCTAGTTTTCTAATAAAAAAATCTCATCTTAAAAAAGTTTCTATGCCAAATTCCACAATCTGCAAAATGTTGCGTTATTGTCCAAATGCTTTAAATTTTTATTAAGATGATTTGTCTGTTATATTACTGTTTACTGGTAATCATTCTCAGTGTATGTTACTCTGGCAACAGAATAGGCTGTAACCACAGATGAGTACCTTAATTTATAAAACAGTGGTCAAATTCTAACTGCTAACAATGCCCATATTTTCTATCATTAACATAATTTTCATCTTCAGGATCAGTCAACTCTGTTTCTAAGCTTTCCAACAGCAATAAAAAAAAATGGTTTCTCGTAGCTACTCACTAATTGAGAAGAAATTTCAAAGAAATATGAACCATTTTCATATCATTGTAATCTCCCCCACTCTTCCCATCAGCGGTGTAATTATCCAAATGCACTTAAGCTTTATGGAAATTTGAAAGTTCTTCTGCCTAAAAGGCTGACTGTGAACTATGTCTATCCAGTGAAGTTCTCTTTAGTAATATTCCAAGTAAGTCTCCTGAGCTGTGGCTGGAAGAGGAGAGGTGCTTTAGGGACATGATCCCATGCCTAGCTCTTTATCTACCTTGCTACCTGTTATCTGACCAAGTCACAAAAAGGCAGCCTTCTGGGTCTCAAACCCCATTCAGTAAGAAGGCAATAATAATATTCATCAAACCAACTCAGAGATATTGTGAAGCTCAAATATGAAAACTTAGAAAAGTTTTAAGTATTTTCCAAAAGTATGGGGTCATTATTAAACAATCCTCTTTGATTAGAAAAGAAGTTTGTTTTTTTCTTCTAAAAAGCTGAAAGCATGAGTCTTTTTTTTTAAATAATAGAAGCTAAAATTATACTACATATTCTTTAAAAATATATAGATACTAAAGACTTTCTAATCCATTGAATGTGTTGGCTTTGCAGCTGCGATTAAGGGGTTCCCATCAATAAGTAGAAAGTCAGGGCAACAATGAGTAGCAAACAAAACGGAGAGGAGAAGGTCTGGTAGGCAGCGGATGGCATGAAAATGTCTTCATACTTGTAAATACTGACAACACGCTCGGAAGTAGGTGGTGAGTCTATATCGTGTCGGGTGATAGAGCCTTTAAAAAAAGAAAGGAAAAGGAAGGGGCAATTAAAGAAAAGCACATATTTAAATTGATATATTCTAACAACAGAAAAACAAAACAAAAACCTTTTGTGTTGAATACATAAGCAGTGATTATAAAGATCTGGAATCAGGTATCAGAACTCTCAGCATTCCCTACAATTGTACATATAATGAAGAACACAGAAATTAGTTAAATTTATCCAAAAAGACAAGCTCTCATGAATCTGCACACCCACTACCAGAATAATGCTATGGGTCTCTCCACGGCACCCCAGTTTTAAGTCTGCTACTTAGTATTGTATGAATGCTTACTTTTAAGGTCTCTAATGAGTTTTATCTTATTAATACCAAATGGAAAACCATACTATGCTTTCAAAGAGCAAGAGCTACTAATTGTTTTCCTCAAATATGTATTTTATATATGAATTATTAACAACCCCTGAATACACTGGACTCCCTTACAGGCGGAAGCCTCTCTCACTTTGTCTGTGGGACATAACGTGGTAGCTTGCCCAAGTTGGATGGAATGGTACAGGACATAGGAGGATTAAAATGGCAAATAAATGTTTTTTGTTAATCCTCATTGGAGGATACTTTTCCCATTGATTTTTAGGGAAAGTGGAAGGAAGGGGGAGGGAGGGGGGAGAGAGAGAGAGAGGGAGAGAGAGAGAGAGAGAGAGAAAGAAACATCAATGTGAGAAAGACACATCATTTGGCTGCCTCCTGTATGTGCTCTGACTGGGGCCGGGGAATTGAACCTGCAACCCAGGTGCATGCCCTTGACTGGAAATCAAACCCACGACCCTTTGGTGAGTAGGCCAGCACTCTAACCATAGAACAGCACTGGCCAGGGCCCAAATAAATATTTGAACAGAAAGCTTGTTTTTGACCTGGTTAGAAGTGGAAAGAGCAAAAGACTGTGTTAAAAGCTACTTCATAAGCTGATTAGAAGTGCCTGACCTCCTAACCCAGGGGTGGGCAAACTTTTTGACTCGAGGGCCACAATGGGTTCTTAAACTGGACCGGAGGGCCGGAACAAAAGCATGGATGGAGTGTTTGTGTGAACTAATATAAATTCAAAGTAAACATCATTACATAAAAGGGTACGGTCTTTTTTTTTTTAGTTTTATTCATTTCAAACGGGCCGGATCCGGCCCGCGGGCCATAGTTTGCCCACGGCTGGGATAGAGCGTCGGCCTGCGGACTAAAGGATCCCAGGTTCGATTCTGGCCAAGGGCACATGCCCAGGTTGCTGGCTCAATCCCTGGTAGAGGGTGTGCAGGAGACAGCTGATCAATGATTCTCTCTCATCATTGATGTTTCTATCTGTCTCTCCCTCTCTTTTCCTCTCTGAAATCAATAAAGTAAAATTTTTTTTAAAAAAGATAGAGAGGTGTTAAGAGGGCGTCCAAGAGACAGGAAAAGCACACGTCTGGCTGTGGGGTAGGAATGGGCCTGTTCTGTTTGGAGACAGTGAGAAGAACAGAAGTCCTGAGTGATCTTACCAGGCAAGGCAGGAAGGCTTGCCATGCTGGCCATTATGCCAAATGTGTAAGAAGATGAAGTGCTGAAGTACAGCACTTTCCAGTTTGTTTTCATCTAATCCTTACAATAATTCTATAAAGTCGAAATTATTATTATCCCCATTTTAGAGATAAAGAAATTGGAGTTCAGAATTTAGATAAAGGCTAGATACAGCCACCAAGGGGTAAAACCAATGCACAAACCCAACGTTTTAGACGCCAAATGCCATCATTTAAAATGAGTTCCTTTCTCCAGGCTAAGATATCAGTAATTTCCCAGGTTACTCAAAGTACTGGAAGACATAATTGCAGATCCACTGTTGGTAATCTGGACATACGCAAATGGGAGAATCGTCCCAAAATCTATCTGAAGGCATCCCAATGTTTTTTTCAATTAGAAACAGAAAAACAAGTTTATGAATGCTCCAGACCAATCAGTGGAAACAATTTGAAGGGGGACAGGGGGAGGCAGATCAGACTGGGCAATATAGAGTTGATAGGCACACAGTTAAGGAAGACTCAACTCCCAGGAGCCAGAAGAGTTCTCACACAAACACTGCAGACAAGTCACGCCCAGGCTTCTCAGGCCATTAGGCTGATCAGCCACAGCGTGACTTGGTTTTAGCAGCTGCTCAAAGGTCTCATGACATCCTCGGGTCTTTGTTGGGGAGATGCTGGAAGAGCCTTGCCCCCGAAAGGAAGGTCAGCAACGGACCAAATCCATGAGGAGCTTGTTAGAAATGCAGAATCCCAGGCCACTGAATTGCATTTTAACGATAAAGGCAGGTGATGTCTACGCAAGTTAAAATGTGAGGAGTAACGGGCTAAGTTATAGGATAATTTGGTGGATCTGTGTCCATTTGGTGTATTTACGACCATCAGGATAGTCATAAAGTGAGCACACTGAAATGCCTGTCAATCTCTAGCGAAGTCTCCAGAAACCCTTTCCTGCTCAGTGTTTGATTGTTTGTATTTAGAGCATAAAGGCTAAGAGTTATCACTGACTTTGGAGCCAGGCAGACCTAGGATTGAATATTAGTTTTCCATTAGTTAGTGGCAGTGCCCTGAGCAAGTTTCTTAGTCTCTAGAGAATCAGAATATAATACCTTTACTTCTCAAGGATGTGGTGAGGACTAAATGGGAGCAGGTGAGAATTAAACACAGCCACACCCCCACAAATAGTAGTCAGGTGATCTGTTTCATTCAGCACTTAACTCATCATATGTTATCTTGTATTATTCAAGCTACGCATGTATATACCTTACCCATTTGCATGTCCGTGTGAATGGTAAATCCATTATAACCTGAAGGCAGGATCATATCTCCTTTTTTACAATATTATCCCAAGTGCTTATCACTCTCTTGCCCAATAAATAACGAACACCAGGACAGCGGTGTCTAATGTTTAATCCAGATGCCAAAATGCAAGCTTACCCTGAATGGCTGGACCCCAGGCAAACAGATAATACCAACTCAAATGCAGGTCGACAATAGTTTCATCTCTGGGAACATTCACAGGGCGTTTAAATCTGCAGGTGACTCGATTGTTCTCATACACTCCTTCTTCATCTCTGGCAGGATTCCTCTGGATCTCCTTTGCCCACTGGCCTACGTTGTAGAAGTGCTGTATGCGGACCCGGCCATTGTCATCATGGACGCAGGCCATGACATCGTCACCACCCTGACATGGAAAATAATGAAGAAAAAAGTCAGCCTTTTGCAAATTTCTCTACTAAAAAAAAAATTTCAGCCCCAGCCATTTGGCTCAGTGGATAGAGCATTGGCCTGTGGACTGAAAGGTCCTGGGTTTGAATCCAGTCAAGGGCACGTACCTCAGTTGCAGGCTTGATCCCCAGCCCTGGTCAGGGCTCTTGTGGGAGGCAACCAATGGATGTGTCTCTCTCACACTGACGTTTCTCTCTCTCTGTCTCTCCCGCTCCCTTCCACCTCTCTAAAAATTAATGGAAAAATGTCCTCGGATGAGGATTAACAAAAAATAATACAGAAATTTCACTGAGAAATGGATATTCCATTACCTCTGTCATTTGAAATCCCACCCCCAAAATTATTTTAAATGCCATTAAAAAGCTTTCACTAACTGACCAAAGTTAACATCACAATGGCTGATATCAAATGCCTCCTGATATGATATTGAGAAAGGAATATGTCACCAGCTATACAGTATTCTTGCCAAAAACACAGAAACTAATCATTAAAAATACAATCAGACAAATTCAAATTGAGGGTCATTCTAAAAAGAAAAAATTGGCCTATAGTCATCAAAAAAGTCATAAAAGACCAAATTTTTTTAAAAGGCTAAGGAACTATTTAATATTAAAGAAGATGAAATATACATGACAACCAATGGTGTGGTGTTCCTGGACAGAATCCTGGGTCATAAAATAAAAATTTCCATAAAGAACATTATTGGGAAAACTGGCAGCATTTGAAAATGGACCATATATTGGATAATACCATCAGATCAATGTTAAACTTCCTGAATTTAGTAAGTAAATGGATTTAATCTCCAAAGTTTCCAGAGGATGGCAACAATAATAGTAGTAGCAGTAGAAGCAGTAGAGAGATAAAGCATGTGTGGCAAATGTTATCACTTGTAAAGAAGTTCTGGAACTAGACAGTGGCAATGGTTGCACCCTGTGAATATAACTGATGCCACTGAATACTTTATAATGGTTAAAATGGTAGATTTTGTGTAATGTACATTTTACCACAATGAAAAAGTTACCAATTGTTGATTCTTCTATTGTACTATCCTTGCAGCTTGTCTGTAGGTTTAAAATTTTTTCAAAATAAGTTAAAAAATGTTAAAGGTGTTCATCAATTCTAACAAATGTTCTACTTTGTGCAGGATGTTGATAATGGGTGAGGCTGCGGATATCAATGAAAATTTTCTGTACCCGCTATTCAATTTTGCTGTGAATCTAAAACTGCTGTAAAAATAAACCCTAACCCTGGCCAATGGCTTATTTGGTTGGAGCCCTGTCCTGCACACCATAGAGGTTGCAGGTCTGATTCCTGGTCAGAGCACATACCCAGGGTACGTGCTCAATCCCTACTCAGGGAGTGTACAGGAGGCGACCGATAGATATTTCTCTCTCACATCGATGTTTCTCTCCCCCCCCCCTCTCATCAGTAAACATATCCTCAGGTGAGGATAAAAGTGAGAAAAAGGTCTTCAGTTGGGTGAAGATTAAAAAATAATAAAGTCTAATAAAAATAATGCACCATTTCAAAATAAGTTAAAGGCTATTAAAAGGGTTTCCATTTTGCTTTTCCTGTGTATCAAGGTTTGAAAAAAATTTAACCTGTGCTTCTTATTGAAATAATAGAAGAAAAGAGAAACCGGTAATGTAAAAGCTTTTAGGCAGCAAAATGTCAAACATAAAATGTGAATGCTCCTCACTCAACCTCCCAGCTCTGAGCCCCACCATCTTAACAGCTGCACCATGCCTGCACACGCAGCCCAGGACAGGAAATAATCAGCTGCCACCCGAGCCAGCCCCTCGGTATGGCACACACCTGCTGTTTCACCTATTGACACCCCAGTAGGTGATAAGTGATGTAGATTCATATTTGCACAATCTTACCAGTGGGACCCGCTGTTGTCGTACTGCCTGGACTGGGAATTGAGGTCACCTCTCCTGGTGACCTCTCCAAGGACAAAAAGCCCCAGGAGCTCTGACTGCCTGGACCGTCTTCTCCGTTTCCTCCTACCATCCATCTACATCCCAGGTCTAATCCATTAGCGAAGCCTATCTGACCTCCAAAACGTATCCAGAATCTGAGCACCTCTCAACACCACCCCTGCTGTAACCCTGGTCTGAGCTGCCCTCTTCTCACTGCCTGGATCTCAAACAGGCCAGGGAA